GTACTAAAAATATTATATTAAACTATTTTACTTGCTAAGTTTTTTATGACTCCACACACACACACACACACACACACACACACACACACACACACACACACACACACACACACACACACACACACACACACACACACACACACACACACACACACACACAAACACACACGTTTGATATTAGTATACAGTACTCTAAAAGTGATAACAACTGTACTGTATATAAACCATATTAAATCGTATATAACTTATAATAATAAATGATTGCTTCAACAAAATATTGTATAAAAATATTACCGAAAAATAGGAATATATTATAGTTTGATAAATGACTGATAATATGTATGCAAAATATTGTAAAGTAAGAGTAAATACAGCTTTTCTTATACTGAAAAACTATTATATTATATTATATGCAATAATACTTAATATATAATATTGTTTAAGACATTCAATTTTGTGCACCAAATATATGAGCACAAAATATTCAATATTAATATTATTATTATATTGTTTGTATATTTATATGATTGGTGTGTGTGAATGATGACTTGTTTTTTACATATAAAAACTCAGTCGCTTATATTATTATTATTATTATTATTATTAATATTTATAATAATATAAATATTATTATTTTCAATAAACAACCATCAATTGTTATATACTTTATTATTATTATTATTCCTCACTCAGTCAGTCACAAAATATGACTTTACATAAGTGATAGCATATTAATATTACAGACATTTAGTCTGTTATAATATTGCAGACAATAATTTTATAAATGATAGCAAAGTGAAGTTTTTTAAAAATGATTAAAATAGAGCCAAAACTAATAAAATTTGAATGTCAAGCGTTTTATATTTTATAATATCACATCTATATAATGTAGTTAATGTCAATCATTTCAATTTTTATATTATTTATTTTTATTAAGAAAATGATTGTTATGTATGCAAATAATTTGAATATTTTATTAAAATTTTAAGTATAAATATAATTTATAAAGAATATGATAATAATGTGTTTTTGGAGTAATAAAAATTTATTAAATATATTAAAATTCAAAATAATGTTTGCAAAATTCATAATGACATATAAAATATAGATAATTTATATAAATTTTAAAGCAGTATAAAATATTAACTATAAAAAGTAAGATATTTATGTGTTTTAGCTATATGTATAATTTTTGTATGTAAATATTATTTATAAAAGTTTCTATCGTTATGTAACTTAAGTTAAACTAACACAAAAAATTATGACCATTTGTTTAAATATTTACATTACTTACACAATGTTTTTTTGAATCAAAGCAGAAAATATGAAATCATTTATACGCTTAAAGTAATAGTAATAATAAATATTTTTCTGGGAATCAAATCACTCTCTCAGAAGGTTTACATTTATGAGAAACAGTGAATACAATGAAGTTTATGAATAACTACTCTATATATAAACTATTTATATATACATAATATTTATATACTGAATGTGTTTTTTATTATTACAAATGTATAGTCTGTGACCGTATATTGAGTTTAATGTTTAACAAACATTACTTTTGAGTCCATTTTTTGTGTCACACATTCTCACCTATTAATACGGGGCTACTTAGCCAACACACACATACAACTGTGTTATTTTGTAGATTTTATGAAATATGACCCTGCTAAAATATTGTGGTAAAGGGAGAGTTAGTGAATGAGAGAGAGAGAGAGAGAGAGAGAGAGAGAGAGAGAGTAAGAAGGAGAGCACTCATCGATGTGATCGACCGGTGCTCGTACTCAGTGGTCGCTAATAAATATAGAGAAAAGACTTCCTTTAAGTAAGTTTTTTTTTATTTAAATATATAAATAGTTATATAAATACTCTCTCATTGATTGAATGAGCCGTAAAACATATACACAATATTATTGTATTAACTATTGATAGATGCATACAATAAAATATATTATTTGATTTTTTAAAGAAATTTTGTTCAGATATAAAACGTGTACAAAACTATATTTATTGAGTTAGTTTTAAATAGATTTATACGCAACATTGGATTAGGCTAATCATCCGATTGCTTACATAAGTGATGCCCAATGAGGTACATGTGTGCAATACTGGGTCCATATATTGTAGTTTTGACAACTCAACAGGTATTTCAAACACCTTTTATTTGTTTGAAAAATACTTGAAAACTATAGATATTTTGTAAATCAAGCCCTAAAGGCTTTATTTTTTATTTTAAATAATAAAGTTATACATTGGGGTATTGTATAATATAATGGGTATGCGAATTATTATTGTTAAAAAATTTGTATGTATAGTATACTACTAAACAGTTCCCAAATTTTATTATATTTAAAGTTATAATATAGTTGTATTTTTATCCCATTTGTCAAATTATAGTTAATATTGCCAGTGGACAGGTATACAATTATGTTTGTCAAAATATTTTTATTTATAAGACCAATGACCAGTGGTTAGAAATTGTTATAAATTTATTTATAAAGTATATTAAGAATAGACATACCTTTTTAAAATACAATACTTATGCAGTGTTATACATACTGTCTATATGTCTTAAATAACACATATTCAGTACAAACAGTAAATACGCTGTTTTGACGATACCTTCCTTTACATATTGAATTGACTGAACATATATTTTACTATACAGTATATAGTGTGTGCCATAAACTGAAATACAATTTGCGAGTAAATCTCGACTATTTTGATAATACAATGAAAAGCAACAAAAAATTGCAAAATCTATTCAAATAAGTAGTACTTTTAACAATTGGTTTGGTGTCACCCCTTCAGTATATTGAATACATACATATATAGTTGTTCCCTCATTGAATCCATAGGTTCATCCCATTGTATGCCTTAATTTTAAAGTAGAAAAGATATATATAATAAGATTAGCCTTAATCTGGTTGTGCCGTACCATTGAACACATTGTAATCGATATATTGAGCCCCAATCTCAGGTGCAATTGATAGGACAATCATCGACATATGATTCGGAGAGTCGGCATTCAAGGAAAGGCATTTAACAAACTGTTCACATGTAATAAATAGTCTAAATTTATCGATAATTAGGAGTATATTTTTTATATCTTTATCTCTTATTGTATATATATATATATATATATATATATATATATATATATGAAGAGCTATTTAGTTGAATACCAGAGTAAAAATGTATGAATACACAAAAAATAAAACAAATTTGATAAAAGCACACAAAAATAGAAATTTATTCTATGGTTAAACTTAAATACATCAATGATTGTAAATATAAAATACAATTCCTATTGGATTGAGTTAAATACCAATAATAAAAGTTTTAGATTTATAACTACTTTTGTTGATCAGAGAGAGAGAGAGAGAGAGAGAGAGAGAGAGAGAGAGAGAGAGAGAGAGAGAGAGAGAGAGAGAGAGAGAGAGAGAGAGAGAGAGAGAGAGAGTTCACCCGTTTTGCAAATCAATTGTTAAACATAATGTGTTTGTGATATCTATGTTAGCTATACTATAGTTAACAATATATCAATTGTACAAATGTTTGATGTTTAACAAAGTTTTACGTTTCACTTACAAATTTCTACTCAACTCTTTCATGAAATTAAAATAGTCTGAAACTGATAGTAAGGTTTGATATACAGTATATATATAATATATAGTGCTTAGAATAAGTCGTGGTTTAATATCCAGGTGTGATATATGAGGTATCACTTTCACGGCATTGGATTACATTTTAACACATCTTTTATTTGTTAAAAGGATTACTTAGTCATGAGCTAACTGTCAGTCAATTCAATGTACAAATACTGGAAGTTATTGAAAATATTATACAAAGAGTTACCACTATTTCCTAACACAAATGGCCTAAAATTATTGTATTGACGGGATCTACACTTAACACCAAATAAATTATAGCTTTAAACACTCTAAACATTATTATTATTTTTACTATTATTATTATAGTTGACAAATGATTTGTTAAAAAAAATCGACAATAGATTCAGTGAATTTATTTAAAAATTCAACACAAAAAAATTGTATTAAATTTTGAAATAAACTTTATTTATAATAACAACATGAAAATAATAGTTATTTTTATAACATATAATTCTATGCAATTATGGCAATTCAAATGTTATATAAAAAAATCATTCATATAATCATTTCGATCAATAAATTAGATTAACTATTGTTATCACAAATATATACACAAAGTGCGAGAGAAAAAAATAGTATTAAAATAAAAATATACACAAAATTATTTTAAGTATGTGTATCATATTTTATTTATTAATTCAACAAATATTTTTACAAATAATAATTGATTATAATAATAATACAGTAATAATAATGGTTGATTATAATTTATACATAATAATTTAAATAATGATGACAAAAATTAATAAAATTTAAAATAATAATATATTACAACAACAAAAAGATAATTATTAGAGACATGTAATGATTAAATTGATTAATAATGTCTTATATCTACAATTTTGCATTTATAAAGTTCCCAAATTATTTCAAATTTATCTCAAAATATTTAATTAAATTTCGTTTTGTTTTGAATTAAGAATAAAAATAAAAATTTACTCCACATCATTGTGTAAATATACAATTAAACCAATAATAAAGAAAAAATAATCTAATTTTTAATATATATTTTTGGGTACTATACTAGCATAAGAAGATTTTAACATAAAGTTTTACTTTAAATTCTATATGTTTTCTAAATGTTTAAAACACTAAATATATTAATGCTTTATTCATAAAATTAATGAATAATTTTCATTAAATATATTTAGTTAACATTTAGTAATTTCCTATTATTCGCTTAAAATTTTAAATCATAGAAATATATGATTTTTTAGTGTAAGAGAAATGGTAACAATAATCTATTGTATTTGACATTAAGATATAGTTAAATACTGTAAAATGTATACATTGTGTTGATAGACATGAAAACATTTATCCATTTTAGTCGTTAATATAATCAGACTTTGCTTTCTTATCCATTGAAACATTCAATGCATTTGAAGAAGAAATTCTTTTGGTGTCTTCACGAAACCAATCGCTTTCATTGTGAAGTTGGTTTGAATTGCGCTTTAATGACATCAAGTGATCTAATGGCATACCATCGTTGCCTAATGGAAAGGGAGCTGTTGTTGGCGAACAGTTATTGTGTGTTGTATTGCCCGCTGTGCCGCTAAATAAACTAAAGTTAAGATTAGTGGATGCCGTTGGAAACACTGGAAATAGACTGGCATAAGGAGAGCCAACCGCACCAAACAGGCCTCGAGGCAGTGCTGATGTCAGATTGGTAGTCGACGCCTGTGAATACTGACCACCCAGACCTGTGGCCGATGATGTTCGCGGAGATACTGCACCGGCACTGGTGACCAACGAACTTACAAGTGGTGGCGGTATACCAGCCGTATTGCTGGACATATTTGTCAGCATCGATAGGAATGGTTGTTGATAGGGATGCAGTGATACACTTGTCGATTGGGAAGTCATTTGTGAGACTTTACTTTTTGGTGACAAATCTTTTGCCGTACTTTCGTTGTGCTTATGATTTATCAGAGAAATGTGTTGTGAATCGACATTATGATTGACTTTATGATCGGAGATCATATCATTGCATAATTTACTGGCATTTCTTTGTTGACCATTGGTTTGGACATCCCTTGCACTGGTGACTAACTGTTCAATAGTTTTAAGGACATCGTCTCCGCTTTCTTTGAGTGCATTCATCAAAATTGATGTCTTGATGTGTGGAAAGACTTTTAGTAATATTTCAATTGGTTGTGGTTTTGAATGATTTTTCAATGTTTTATTAGCTCTTAATTTGCCACTTCTTTGCACGTGTTTGTTAGTGTCGCGACTGAGCTCTTCATCAGATGATTGTGTCTCCACTTTGTCGTTATGTGTAGTAATGTCTGTCTCATCACTGGCTACTCCAAACTCATCCGAGTCTTCCGTATCATTAGACTCATCGCTATTGACGGCAATATTTTCCTCAATAGTTTCGCTTTTATCTTTGGACCAGCCTTTTGGTGTCACAAGAAATATGCGGATATAAAATAAAAATTGAATTAATTTGATATCAATTTGTGATTTTCATGATAAGTAGCCAATCATATTAGTCAGACATTCAATTGTGTGACAAAAGCAGACTTTTTTTTAACTGCATATGCAATAAACAATGTTATTAATAATCAGTTATTGAATACATTGTTTAATTTTGTATATAAAGTACTGTATAATGTATTACAGTGTATATGCTCTCGAGGTCTGTCTTATTTCAATTGTAATTAATGTCACAAACAGTGACGACTGTCCTCTCTTTTCCAATACTATCACATAATAATAACATTTTTCTAAATACCAGTTATTCTATCAATAATAAACTGGAGACTATTTATATGGAGACTATATATACCTATAAATAACTTTTTCGCATAACTATTCAACTATATATTTCAATAAAAAGTTGAATGTTTGTCTAACCAAATGCTATTGTAACTGAATATATTAAATACGGGTATATTAAGTGATCTCATATTTTATTAGTGCTCGACTACTGTATCAATAATCTCCTATCTCTCTCTCTCTCTCTCTCTCTCCTCCTGACCACTGCTTAAAGTAATGATAGCAATAATTGTCATAAAAGTTTGTTATATAAACTTTATCGGTGATGCTATTAATATATAGAGTTATATGTATAACTTATTGTTCAATATATATACATATATATACTGTTATAATATAATTAAGTTTCTGTCATTTTAATATCTTGTTTTTGTTATAATTTATACGTCAAATAAATTTTTTATTCAAACAAATATTGATAGACAAGTATTGTGTATAAAATAATATATTCCCAATTTCATCAAATTATTTGGCATATAATAAAAAATGAACAGTAATTTTAATTTTGAAAAGTAGTAGAAAATAGTAATAGTATTGATAAAAGTAATCTATTATTTGGCAAATTTTTTTATAGTTTTAGTTATGATTCATTAGACAAGTCGAGAGAGAGAGAGAGAGAGAGAGAGAGAGAGAGAGAGAGAGAGAGTTTTGTAAAAATTGACTTTTCATTTAATCATTTCAGGAATTTATTATTCATTGATGTATTGAAATACAAATTATAAATTTAATATTCAATATATTGAAAAACAGGGAGAATGAGAGTAAAATGTGGCTTAACTTTTCATATACTCCTAATGATGTGTATGTTTGGTGAGTCCACTTAATAATGAAAATAAATTATCATTTCATATGCAAATAGTAGTAAAAATTATTCATTTTAAAAGATATTCACAATATTTGAATTCCTTTCCAACTATTAAATGATTCACAAAAATATTTATAACATTGAATGGCAACTTTACAATAAAGAGGGATAGTTGTGAGGTATGGCTATCATTGTTGACAATATATTAAATTTTTGCTTTAATTTATCACAGCTTTGATATTAATATATGTTAATTTTGTTTGACTCCCATAACCACTGTATTTACAGTAAGTTATATACACTCTATTATTATTATCAAATATTATATACCAGTTTATACTTGTTTACTGTAAGATAATATATTATTACGAGGAATGAGACTAAAGAGAGAATTTGTCAGAAAATTATATATATATAATAAAGTGTTTTTATATATAAATATATATTTGATATATAATATTAAGTCACATCTTTTGTGTGTCCTTTTGAAGAAAAACTTTCCAAAAATGTGTTCATAAACGGTAAGCGATGGCTCACTAAATCTTTTCCTATAACTTATAGTCAGTCTATCATTTAAAAGTTAGAGAGAGAGAGAGAGAGAGAGAGAGAGAGAGAGAGAGAGAGAGAGAGAGAGAGAGAGAGAGACTATCAATAAGTAAGCATTGAAATTCCTATCTATCTATCATTTATGATATTTACCATTAAATTATATTTTGTTTTGTGTGTCACACATAACACACATATACTGTTTTGAACTGAGAATATATTGTATATAAGAGACAACAATAGAGAATAGACTACAATATTGTTTGCATTATATGAAATGCTTATATACTTTATTTCTATCTTTTATAGGGTTTTTATCGTAATTTTTATAACTGCTATAACTTTTATTCTAAATGTTATAGCAGTTATGTTATAGGAGTTATTTCTATAATATTATATATATTTATAAATATATATAGAAGTTATATGTAATAAAAATGATCCAAATATTTAGATCTAAGGATTGCTTATTATATAATTTACTATTATATATAAGAAAATATTTTCACATAAAAATAGTTTTTCTATTGATTATCATTACTGTATAAAAAATATATATAATTCATTCAATTTGATCTTTTCATTTTGACAATTAATAAAAATTTAATAATAATTTTGTTTTTGTTGACATTTAATGGCCCATCATAAAGAAAAAGTTATAATTTTTTATTAAATTTGTTGTCTATTTAATTTCTATATACCGTAAAGTTAATGTATAAAATTTTTTAATACAATAATAATAATAATATTAAGAAAAGTATTCAATTGCTTTTCAATTTGTTAGTTATTGACCTTTTTATGCCTCAACTCAAATGCCATTCATTGATAACATCTGAAGAAAAGCTATACTTTTGTAAAGCAAAGATGAATCTCAAACCCAAAGCATACATATATTTATATAATATAATAATAATAATTGAATAGTTTGATAGATATTTGAAACTTGTTAGTGAAGTCCAAACTACTTGTAAGCAAAAATAGTTTATATGCTTTGTTTAATTTAGATTAAATGTCACACATTATCACCAAACAAGTGATGTCTTATTTTGATGTAAACTATTATTACTGTTATTATTATTATTTCAATATTTTATTGAATTATGAATTCTGTAATATTCTCTCTCCTGAACTAACTTTTCAATAACGATATTCTCTTTTTATGGTCAAATGAATGCCACAAAAACATGTTATAAATAATAATAATAATAAACAGTAATATCTTATTTGTCAGTTAAAGTATATAAAATATAATAACAAAATTCAAAGATAAGAGACAATAGCTTATGGCTCTGGGATATGCTAGTGAACAGTGGCTCAGACCTACCGTGATGTGAATCAATGGTGATTTGTAATAGTGTTTTGTATGGACAGTCTATACACTAGCCATCAAATTGCATACTTCTAACTGTCTTTGCTTTCAACAAATCTATTCAAATGAGTGACTGACTGAATAAAAAAGTTTTTTCACTATTTAAACAATGTATATGTTATATATGTTAAAGAAAGGACAGGAGTCTCTCTCTCTCTCTCTCTCTCTCTCTCTCTCTCTCTCTCTGCCTCTCCCAGTGCTCTCTTCCAGTGCTTAAATATGGTAAGAGTTTTTTTGAAATTATAAACTTTGATAAGTAGTTGTGTTTTGTGTAAAACTACTGTATATATACTGTATATAACTAGTAGTAGTAGTAATAATATTAATACAGTAAAGTCGCAGCTGATATAATGTGTACATTCAAATAACAGTATATAATATTGAATATAATAAACGAGGGGCTAATCTATTGATATATTCAATAGGCATAGAGTGAGTGAGGTATTGTCAGACAGGGTAAGTAGTCCTGTCCTGTAGTACTGGCAATACAACACACAAATAGTTTTGACTAACTTTAAAATGAACTCAACTTTTTTTTCTCTCTCTCTCTTAACAAACAGTGAGAGGCCATACACTTACTATAAGATGCTTTCATTAAACTACTTGTCCTCACTTAGAGAGTGCTCTTTTAGTACACACTTTGTTGTCACCAAATAATCTATCAAATATTTCAATTTATTCAACTCCCGGACCCATCAACACACTTATACAGTACAGTACATACCATTTCTATGACTATATATACTGTATATATATATATAAAGGTAAAAATTGAAAGTTTTGCCAAATATTTTATCCAAATGCCACCAAAAATGATGACATGCCCTCAAACTTCTTATACAAAACTATTATTTTTTAACAGTACTTTCCAATTATGACAGTTTTTTGACAACTAAATCTTTATATGGGATGAGACAGCAGCTGCTATAGCTATAGCTCTCTCTCTCTCTCTCTCTCTCTCTCTCTCACACACACACACACACACACACACACACAAGAAGTGTATTTCATCTCCCATTCCCTATAGCACTGGGAGTTTATACTAAAAAGCTTTAACTTTTTTTATGGTAAACTTATATATAAATGTGAAACTGAATGTCAAACTAGAAAGTTACAAATTAATCCACTTTAAAGCGACCAACAAATTGAATGGTCTATTGAATAATGGACTCAATGCCAGTGCCTTTCATTACGTGTCAATTCAGACACACCATTGACTAGACTTTTCATACAACAAATGAAATCTTATTTTAAGACTTTATTATTTTGTAAACCTGTCGATGACTTTCATAATTGTCAAAAAAAAAATTATTTTTATGCATTAAATTTTTGACAAAATATTTATAATAAATAATAATCAAATCTACAGTACTTATACACATAGATAATATATAATACTTTTACTTAGAAATAAATATTTCATGTGATAATCTTTGGGAAATAATTTCCTAATATATTCAATAATAAATAAATAAAAACCTGTTTCGGATGTATTGATTTGATCTTTAGTCGAGTGCTGATTATCTGTTAAATCCATGACCACTGGCGAAGACTTGTCATTATTAATAGCATATTTAGAGCTACCGTTTGGTTCGCCTGAAGCTGAAGAGCACTCAGATGTGGGCCTTTCCTGTGTGTCGGTTGAAGACAATCCCGGTTTGTTGTTGGTCTGAAAATTAGAGGTTCAGATCGTATATTTAAAAGTGGTTTAAATGACTATTAAATAGTGAAAGTGATTACTACTCACATGAATGATTTGAGACATAGCAGCTGAAAATGTGAATCCAGCCCTGTGCATAGCTAACAGTCCCTCGTGACACCCATACAACACACTTAGCTCTCGCGCCTCATTTTCTTCCTGTGCCTTTATTTATTATTAAATTTATTTATTATATATATATATATATATATATATATGTAATAAAATTATATTATATTAAACAGATTATAGGATTGTCATACCTGTTGCCTCCTAAGAGCTACCTGTGCTGCCATAACTCTTTGTCTTTCAGCAATTAATGTACATTTAGCACACGAACAATCTTTCCAACGACAATACCGTTTATGTCCCTATTATTGATATTTTTATTTATTTTTATAAGCTTTTGATAACTTTTATATTGCTATTATTAATCGGTTATACAGTATATTATCATCAATAGTATAAAATAAATTTTTTTTTAATTTTTAAAAAACATTCTAATTTTAAATTTAATATTAATTGCTTATTTAATTATAGTATTATTTATATTATAATTATTTTTTGGATAAACGATTAATCTATTAAATAATGAAAATTATAAAAACAATATAAAACATTTGTAACTCTTGGGCTCCGAAATTGTACTACTTGTGCAAACCCTTTATTATATAGACTATCAATTGAATTTCAAATTCAAAAATTATGATTTTATTTAAACTGATAAATTTTAAATCTAAAATTTTTTTATACATGTATAAATTTTCTTATTAAATAAAATAAAATAAAAATGTTGATAAAATTATTCTATAAGTGAACTGTAAATTGAGTTATTTATTTATAATGCAATACTGGGATTATTATATAAAATAGATAAAATAAAATATAAAAATATAAAAGTTATTATAATAAATGAAATAATTTACTTTTAAAGCTGAAACGACCCCATGATTTCGGCACCGGGCACATTTAGGTGTGCGCTGATATCTTTCTGCCGCTGATCTCATTAGAAAAGCATTGGCTATCGGCTGTGGCGATGATGTTGACCGTCCACTGACCGGTGGCGGCGATGAGTCAATAGTTGAATAGGGATTACGTGCGGACAAATCGGCGGACAAACTAGTGATGGAGTGATCGTTTGGTAGTGAGGAAACACTTGAAAAGTTCATGACCTTAAAGCACAGTTAGATATAATTGAAACACTCAATAGTGTTAGCTATAAGTGCTAATTAATAACATACAGGTTTGGCCGTCAATTGTTCATCAAATGCAATGATAACATTGACTGCACGTGTATTTTATGGCACAAACACATCGATAGCCACAGTCATCGACCAGTGATGCGCAGCCAATCCCGTCTAAGCCATCGATGTCTATACGGCTAATACAGGAATATCATTGGTTACTCTGTAAAACAGATCAATAGGAGAGTGTCTGTTCCCATATCTCACACAACTATCTAAACTCTAGTATCTATTTATTGTATACTTTTAATACTCTATTTGCTATTCGTTGCCCAATATATCAGACTTTCCTCACACATGATGTATATGTTTAGTGAGAGTCATATCTATTATCTCTTATGTCATCATCTGTTGGCTTTCATCCACATCTCATCCAACTCTTGTTTGTTTGTCAATCATAAACAAGGCTATGAATACACTCTATGAGTACACAATCAACTAGACATACCTGTTCTCAAATATCAACAACAATTTAGTCTATTATTAACAATGTTTCGATAAATATTTATTAGTATATTAAATAAATAATAATTATTAACAATATATCTATTAATAAATAAAAATAACAATAAATACCTGTTTTTGGAACACTTTAAGAGCAATACTTTATTTTATAGTCTATAGAGTTTATACTACAATATTAGTTATATTAATATATTATATAGTTTTTTAATACTACTATATATTGTTTGGAATTTTGCTTAAAGTTTATGTCAATATTTTGCTGATAATTATCACTTTGGATAACAAATAAGTTTATCCTTTCAAGTGATTTATAAAGAAATTCTTTTGCAAATATTTATAAGTTTTTTAATTATTCATTATTATTATTGTTAACAATTTTAGTGATTATAAATTATTTAACAATATAATGTTAAATTTAGTCATTTAAACATTTTTTGATGCTTAAATGTGCTAATTGAGTTATTGTTTAATTAAATTAATTATATTTCATTTTTTATCTATTTATCTATAATATTAATATATGACTACAAACATTAATAATTATAAGTTTTATCTATTTATTGATCCTATTTATAAATTAATGCTATAATACAGTTAATTAGTTACTAAATAGTATATTTATTATACAGTAGAGTATACATTATCTTAGATTTTTATTAACATTACTAATAATTTTTGTTAATATAGTCACAATTATGAAATAATTGTTTTATTCAAAATAAATAAATAAATTAAACTAATTAGTGAAGTTAATATATATTATTTTTTTAATTAACAAATAAAATATTAATAATTAATTTAAATGGACTATAATTTACAAACTAATAATTAATAATAAACTTAATGTTTTAAAAATAAGCTAAAGTGTTGACCCCTAACGTCATAAATACAAATATTATTTATTATATAAAATCAAATACTGTATTATTTTTAAAGCACTCAAATTATATTCAACAATATATTGAAAGTTAGACATTAAATAAGTTTTATTTAATTATTGATTTATTTTTAATAAATTAATAATAGTCTATTTAATTTGTTAGTAACAAATGTCTGTATATTGTTGTTTTGTATAATTGATTAAATGATCATTAATTGTATTTATGTATTACCAGTAAATAACAAATTCAAAACTAAATTATTAACTTTTATTTTTGTTTTACCGTTAAAATACTATTAGAGAGAAAGTTTTAGTTAAAAATATTTTTTCAATGTTTACATTACGAGTGCCTAACTATATAAACAATTATTATTATTATTATTTTATTTTTCAATAATTAAATGAATTATAACATGATATACTATATAATGTTTCTTAAATAGACATACAAATTATTTTATTAGATTAAACAATCATTTATATATACTGTATGTTTAAAAAGTCATTTAATTTTACATATTTAACAAATTTTATATCTCGTATAAGCATTTTGCTAACAAAATAATACAATGAGTATTAATAAATAAATTTGTTTGTTATTTAAACGTCTAATTATTTATATCAATGATGACCACAATTATAAGCAAATAATACTGTATATTATTGTAGACATAAATTTATAAAGTATTGAAATTAGTAATAATAAAAATCTTTTAATTATATGACAATACTATAAATATAATCACATCTTTAATAAGACAAATACAAAACTAGTTAATAAATATTTTCTCACTTTATATTTATTTAATATTTTTTTTTGTTTTTTTTGTTTGAGGACTTAAATACCAGTTCTCACAAATCATATAATGTTATTAAATAATAAAATTACGTTTTTAATGCTACGATGTTTCACTTAAGTTAATAAAAGATAAATTATAATTTTGCTAAATTTTTCTAAATGTGTGAAATAATAATAAAAAATAAAACCATTTATTGGTTTATTATTGATAATACACTTAAAAAATTGCTTGCCCTTGTTGATTAATTAATAAATAATATTTTTTTCAAATAATAAAATACTCGCAAAGTGTATCTCAATTTTTATTTTTGGAGATATTTAATAAAATATAACAATTCACATATAGATTTTAACTATTATATTAATTACTTTTATTTATTTAAAGAATTTAAAATATTACTTATGTTATTTCTTAGATTTTTTATTATTAGTAATTAATATAAAATAATAATTGTTTAAAAATATCTTTTGAAAATTAATAAAGTATTAAATTATATCATCTATTATGCAATCATCTAATATTAAGATGAATGTTATAAAAGGAAAGTTATTTAAACTTATAGACAATAGATGTCTATCACTACATATTATATTTTCATAAATACATTGGTATTACTGATATAAAACGGTATTATTCTGTAATTGAGATATAAGTATTTTAGATATTGATAATTAAAATAATTTTTAGTAAATTAATAATTATATAAATTATCAAGAATATAATATTAATATTAATGTAATTAATCATTATTATTTTTTCAATTATTATTTTATTTATTATACTATACAAACAATATATCTATAGTTATAATATTATAGATATTCTTAAAATTATTTTAGATATAATTATTTGATTATAACTTTTATAGAATTGTTATTTAGAAATTAATATGTAATGTAAATGCATTAATATAGTTTATTTGACAATTATTATTATCATAAATATTATATTATCATATTTACATACATAAATAAATTAATATTAAATGTTATTGTCTACTAAGATACCATAAGTTTAATATTTTATATTGTTTATAGTATTAAATCTTTTATTTAAAAATATATAAGATATCATTTAAATATAAAAACTTATTGTTTATTTTTTATCATTTGTTAATTTTTTTAATTAGATATAATAACGTTAAGTTGCAAAAGTTAGATCATTTAAAATAATTTTAAAAATTAACATTATACTAAGTATTTATAAATGCTATTTTTTGAACACATTATAGTTTATATAGGCTTTAATATCTTTAAATGCATTGAATAAATGAAAGAATTTTAAATAACTTATTATTTAAATACTTTTTTGTTGTTGATTTATATTGAAAAATATTTAAAATATTCAAATTTCTATATTTTATGAATCTAAAAACATTTTTATATTCAAATCACTGCTCTATTAGTTATTGAAATGATTTTTTTATGCATTTCTATACTCTTTAAGTGTCTTCAGAATATTATAGATATAATAAACATTTTAAACTATAATAATATCGTAAGTTTTTAAGTCATTTCCATAACTGATAACACATAAGCAATAAATTGTCGTTATATACGATATATAGTACTGTATAACAATGTGTATAATTTACTGTCTATATTATGTTTAAGATAATTTTTGGGAAAAAAATTTGTTTATTGATAAAATCAACAACAAATATTTATAAGTAATAATTTTTTCGTGTATTTTTATTTGATTTATAACCAAAAATATTTCGTGATTGATTTATAAAGCAATAACTAACAACAATAACAACAAATAGCGTACCCAAAAAAATATGCAAAACAGCAACAAATCTATACTCTAAAAGATTGGTTATGTTTCGGTTGATGATAACCTCTGGTGCGGCATAAAAAGCCTTGCATTTGATTATTTTGGTTTCAGTGATAGGAATACATGAGCACCGGGTCTGTCGCCAGAAGGAATCGGTATTCATTTAATTGAATGGCAATACATTGCAATTGAGATATACTATATTATACAATATATACTGTATATATATATAAAGAGTGAAAGAGAGAGAGAGAGAGAGAGAGAGAGAGAGAGAGAGAGAGAGAGAGAGAGAGAGAGAGAGAGAGAGAGAGAAGTGAGAGCAAAACACTTATTATTCATGAAGTGTTTGATCACACAATTTCTGGCAATATATTCCTAAAAAATTTTATACACAGATAGAGAAAGTCTATCATTGATAGTAAAAGTGTAGTGATTTTTCTCTCTCATTGATTCGTTTAGCTCTCAGTTTCGTTTCGTTGGTCTCATGAGAGACCAATACATACATACATACCAACACCACATACTGTATATATTGTTATAAACTGTTATAAAGTTAACCACACATATCATTCATACTAACCGATGCCTCAACTTAACACTTACACACACTGTTATAATGTATATTTAGTATGTAAGAGAATGACTCTTATAAATCTGCATCCAATTCAACTAAACTATAATATAGCCATAGAAGAGAGTAAACCGGGAGTTACTCTCAGTTTACAAGTATATCAAATTAGCATCCGATCAATGGATTGTTGTTATATATGTGTGTATATATGATATATAATAATACACTATTTGTCATATTTATATCGACCGTTGTATTTCATCTTTAAGACTGAATTGTTCAAAAAACAAATTTTGGTCAAAATTTTAGACAATTCTTTATAATATTCAATATTCAATAATATATATAAATATAATATATCTTTAGGTTTAAATTCAATATATTTTGTATTTTATTTATACAATATTGCTATTTCTAATATTGATATTTGTTTCACGACTACACACTAGAAAAATAAAAGTCTTGCCAAAAGTTATTTTATATTTGTTCTGAAATTTCTTTTTTATTGTCAAAAATGTCTTTTATTTTGTTATATAAATTGTATATTTCTGTCTTTATTTTTATTATATCATATCATATATAATATAATATGTATTTTTATATTTCAAAAGAATTATTTAATAACACTTACAAATCAGTCTCAAGCGATGATAGCAATCATAACATACAGTATATACCATATCATACTGTTATGACTGAGCATATGTGTCAGTCCTGTTACTTATACAACTGTACTGTATATACACTGTGGTGATGATGTTGTTGCTGATACACTACTGTATACTGTAAATGCTAATCGAATTATGGGCTCCGGTATTGTATTTGTTATAAAGTTAGGGCTCAGTTGATCACTAGTTTTAGTGATTATAGATGTGGTGCAGATTATTGTTGACATAGAGTCAAATAAATAGATTTCGAGAGAGAGAGAGAGAGAGAGAGAGAAATATTTTTCAAGACATAACTATAATAACATACTTTCTAAATACTGTACACATATATGTAGTATAAATTTATTTCTAACATTATATAAATTTATATTATAATATTGTTATTGTATTTCACAATCAGAGATATTTTTGTGATACTTTTATAACAATATATCACAACATATAAATATATGACACATAATATTATTTTATTCATTACAAGAGCAACAAAAATAATTTTATTGAATTGAAGCTATAATTGTCTTATAGTATTAAAAACCTAAGGCCTAAACATATTTATTTATAATAAAATGTATAGTTTTGCCGAAACCATAAAATTGATCAAACAATTTATTTAATAATATTATTGAGTATTTTTATATTTGATTGTATTTATACAATATTTGTGAAAATTTATGAGATGTTGGTTTGTATGAAATAAAGTGATTAAAAGCAGTCTTCAAAAGACTACACAATTATATGGATAGACATATGTAGTACAACATAACGCATGATAATCATGTTATACATAGAGAAACATAGATAAAGTCTAACACTTCAAAACTATACTCTTCCTTATCCTATATAATACTTTATATACAGTATTAGTATAAATATCTAACTTTTGATTAAGTGTTTCTTTGTATATATATATTATTAGGGTTGTATAATACTGTATTATATAATTGTACAATAGTGCAGATCATTTATGTATTAATATAATATAGTTTACAAACTACATAAAAAATTATAGTTAATGCAACTTAACTATATATTTATTATTTAGAAAATACTTTTGAATTTTTTTCATCTAAACAAAAAATTGATTTATTTTTTTAATGAAAAATACAGTATATCAATATTTTATATATTGTTTTTGTTGTACATATTTCTAATATACATGTTTTTTGCTCCAACATAGATTGTAAAATTAGTTGAATATATTTTTTAAATAAAAATAATTTAATTATTATGAATAAGACTATTGATTATACATTAAATATATTGATAATTTGATATATATTGACTAAAAATAAAAATTGTATTTATACAACCCTAGTAATGTATAAAATATATATAAGCAATGTTTGATGTAATTCTTACTTTATTATATACAGTATTATTATTATTATATCTATAGATATAATATTGTGTTGATGTGTGAAGTGGTTAAATGCATCGACACCTCTAGCGATACATCACATTCAATGGAGTCTCTCATAAGGTTTTCTTTTAACTTATTTTCTTCAATATATGAGAAGCCGATGATGTCTTTACACACATTTTATTATTAGCTAAACACACAATCATATAATTTATACTAAATATTATAGTTAGTACTATTGATGGCTTAATTGCAATATACTGCATATTATTTAACGTTATATGTCTTTCATTTGACTTAATTAAGTTTATTCAATGGCTTATAATTGAATTATACATTAAAACTATCTGTTTGCATTTATATATAAATATATAATAAATACATATTTAGAGTATATAAACGTTGATTATTAAGTGGTTACGCCAGTACTTCATCACTAAATACAGTGTGTGTAGCATTTGTGTCAATAAATGTCTGTATTAAATGTGAGGTTACATCAAATTAAATGAACAATCATTTGGTTACACAATTTATTTTTATGTTATTTATCTCTCTTTCACATCTAATTTGTGTATTGATTTAAATCTTTAGAATTTAGCAAAAATTAGTAATGATTTGTTTGCAAACTTTAAGCCAATTTTCATTAGTGTACAGTAAAGATAGGAAACTGTTTGCTATGATAGTGTATATCTTGTTTGTTAATAAAAAAAGAGTTCAAGCATTTAGGCGTGTAATGGCATCAAAACTAATTGAGTGGAAACGGGTTATTCCTCCAACACATGTCAAATTGAGTGACAGCCTGTCCTACATTGTGTTAGATGTGGTTCCCTCTTCTATGTCTAACAATGTCTAACTTTAGACCACTATATGTCGGTGCAATTGGTATTCAACCTCAAGGCGCTTATTTGCCTATGAATGGACAGAAAATTTAGTGCCAGTTATACTCAATTTGTTGATATAATGTATTATATATTAAATATATATATATATATATATGTTGTGATTGACTGTATATTTTTGTTAGACTTTTAGTTGCTTTTAAAGCAAACTTTATTTAGACAAACAGTGAAATGCATATCAATTTAATAATCTGATGATTGCTTTTTTTCTCTCTCTCTCGCTCTCCTCAATACACAAGTTTGCAAACATCTGTTATAAACCGTATATTATTATTATTATTAGTTTATATGCCTAACTATTTTGAAGCATCCATTAGCGTGTATTTTACATTATATTTATATAAATACATTTATAGATATGTATATGTATTTTAGTACAATAGAAATGTGATACAAACACATATGCCATTCATATGCAATATATTATTATATATTCACTTAACAAATGCTTTTCTCAACAATTTCTTTACAGTCTTCTGAATCTTATTTCTATTTGAATTTTTGATGTAATGTTTTTGTTGGATGCCTTCCCTAACATATCTCTTATTTTTATTTAATATCTTTTTTCATATTTCAAGGAAAGCACTGTTAGATGTAAAGCAAGGTTTTGTATGTTTCCATTAAATTTGTATGTATTTTAGAGTTTAAATAATGTTAACAAAATGTAAAGTTTAGTATTGATATTAAAAAATCATTTTATTTTAGAAGATTATAAACTATGTCATAGATTATTGTCAAATGATTATTATTATTATTATTCAATGTTTTTATTTGTATTTATAGAGTGACAGACTTACAACTTATATAATATTAATGTTGTATTTTTAAGTAAGAGATAAACTTAATGCCGTAAGTATGTACACATGTATAGTACAGTACATATAGTGTATAATAAATATTTTGATGTTTGAAATGTTAAGTTTTTAATTATCTAACAATTGACAAAATAAAGCAATATTAAAATGTGTTTTCAACCGATTTATAATATATCTCACATTTGTCAAAGAAAAACAATGTAACACAATATCTATAGTTAGGATACCATTGCTTTTCATGTGATTTAATACATACACTGCATCTATATATCTATATATTTGGTACACATATTGTGTGGTTATTTTAGCAGTAAGTCCTTAAATGTCAACATTTACAGTGAGAGAGTAAATAGCATTAAGAGTCGAAACAAGACACACATTTAGCACAACAATGTAGTTAACATACTGTAGTATTATGTGTGGTATATGACAGCACTGGTAGTACAGTATATGTATGGATCTGTGTGTAAGCCCAGGGTTTCGCTGGTCAGGTCGAGGCGGATGCCATTCAGTCACAACTGTCAATATATATATATAAAGTTTATATAAAGTACAGTATATATATGTATAGTACATATACAGTATAAATCTTTAGTCTACTCGTCATCGCCAACATTGACTGTCGATTTGTATCCAATTTCAGCACAAAATTGGGATCTCATGTTGTGTTAGACACCAATCTTTGCTTAGTATCAGCTTTTATTGGCCTTCAGATACAACCCAATGCATCAAATATATAAACATTATATTTAATACATATATAGATATTAAGTTATAGTAAATACTATTTAATGTATACTATTTAGAGAACATCAATATAACTCTTTTCCGGATTAAAACCCAAACTATAATATTTGGTAAACTTATTTGAAATAACATTTGACTTATAATGAAATAATATATTATCTAACATTTATTAAGCAAATTCTCATAAATATAATATATATTTATTACAATACAGATTATTCACGAAAAATTACATCAGTATTTATTTTTATATTATTATTATATCAATATTATAAGTTATTATCAAATAGTAATTTTTTACTTTTAATTAAACTTTTATACATTTATTGTACGTCTAAAAAGCTTGCGTTTACTAACAGTTAGCATAGATTTAATGGTTTACAATATATGAAAAAAACTCTACAATAATATTGAAATTCTGCACATTTGTAGAAAAACAACTTAAATTCAAACAAATAATTATTACAAATAATGATATGAAAAATACAGTACTGTTTAATAATAAACAAAATTAATGAGTGAAATATTTACAAATATTATCATTAATAGTCTTATGCTGTAATATAATGGTTTGATTTTGATGTAAACTCGATGGACAGTGAGTTAATGAGTCAATCGGTACACTTACTTCCTCTGCTGGAAGGACTGCTCCTCCAAGAACTGGCTTCAGTCGACAGGTCTACAGCTGTTTCGTGCGATACTTGTGTGCGAACCTCTTTAAATGCCGACACAGAGTTTGGACTGTCAGCCCCGCGACCACTTTGCAACATAACTGCGGCCGCATTGCTCACCGAATTAGTGCATTGCGTACATCCAGATGGACAGACACCGGTGGTCGGCCCACTGGAAAACGCATTGTTTGGATGAAACAAATAATGTATTGCAGCCGCATTAGGGTAGGGCGCGATCGACGGGGAAGTACCGAAGTCTCGGTGGTATGGAGTTGAAGGTGAGTGTGAAAACATATTGGAAAATATGGGTGGAGGTGGCGGACCCAGTGATGGGTTTCGTGTCGATGCAAACAATGGCGAAGTTGCCGATAAACTGATACCAGAATTTAATGGCGTAAAGGCTGACTTAATTGAGCCTAAAATAGGACTTATATTAGTCTCTAATTCACGTCGTCTTTGCTGACTTTCGGCAAATGCTGACGAATAATTGTGACCACTATTTGGATGGTTTGAATGCAAAATCATCGCATCGTTTATCGAAAGGAAGTGCTCAATGGCTTTGACAACATCGCCATTACAGCCTTGAAGTACTAAATCAAGTACCGATCGCTTCTGATTTGGAAATATGCGAGCGATTACGTCCAGCGAACTGAGTCTTCCCGGTCTGAAGTCAGCCGGAATATTATTACCGAATTCGGGTGTCATCGCACCGGTAGTTGGGATTGGAGGTGAAGGTATGGCGTGTCGTCGAATAGCATATTTAGTTGTATTGTTTTTGAGTATTTTATTTTGTATTTGTTTGATATCCGACTGATGGTTGACTGTCAATGAGTCGGTATTTGTATTATCTACCGACTGTTCCGATGGTTTACTATCAGTTATAACCGATTGTTGAGGTATTACAGTACTAAATGTCTGTCCTATAGTAGGCGTCATTTGGCCTTTTGTTTCATCACTTTTTAGCTGTTGTTCATCAATGTTCTGGTGTTGTGATGAATGAGAGTTTACTATACAAACAAAAACATTTTATTATTAATGATTTCTTTTAGTTTTTTTTGTAAGTTTATATATAAATCAATTCAATTTGATTTATAGTACTATGAAATTGATATATTCTATACAATACTTCATTGTTTTCTAATAAGACATAAAATTTTATACATTCATTAATTGATTTGTGTGAGACTATCCACAAAACATTGGTTTAGTATTTTTACACTTTTTTCTATAAATATATTTTGCTAATAATTAGATTAGGGGAGAGAGAGAAAAAAAATATGGACTAACAGTGCCTTTGGCTATATGTTCAATATATATATAAATACTGTGTTTGCTTTTTTGATACCTCACACTGTATTCTATTAACCAGCGCTTCGTTAATACAGCACTGGTATAGTTAGCACTGATTTTAGATTTATAAACAAATAATACTGTATTATATGATATACTAAATTATAAATTATAAACTTAAAATTGCATATTATTTAAAATGAAAAATTGTGATACATTTTTACATTTTTATAAGAAACGTTGAGGTCTTACCTGTTATATCAATGTCAACATGTCTTGAGTTGATGTTATCATTGCTATTGATGTCATCTGAAGAGCTTTGACTATCGTTTGCATCAAAATCTCCGGATTCACTGTTGGTATTAGTATTATCTGTTTTTAATAAATTGTCGGAACTGTCTCTAAGAGGTTCTGTCACTTGTATTCCAAATATAGGACCGGGAGGTAGATAAGTGTTCACTGGTGCTCCAGTAGCCACTGCTCGAAGACCTATTGCAATGGCGTCTTCGGCCGCTTGTTGTCTTTTAAGGGCAACCTTTGCAGAGACATTGTATGTATCAAATGAATTTGCATTATATGCCATTTGACATACCTGTGCAGCCATAATACGTTGACGTTCTGCAATTAGGTTGCATTTAGCACAGGTGCAATCTCGGAATCGACAGTGCCTTTTGTGGCCTTTAAGCCATGAGATCATACCGTGATTGCGACAACGGGCACACTTTGGTCGTCTCGCTGTTTGTCCATTGGCTGATCCATTGGAAGAACCGGACCCAGTATTTCTCGAGTGATTACGACCTGAGATGGGAGGCGAATGTTGAGACATTGTTGTACTTATTGGCGGTGATATGATATTTGTCTGATGACTGACAGACACATTAAACGGGTGATAGTGCAGTACCGATGCCGGACCACTATTGTGACCATTAATTAGTCTTTGCATCGACACTACATCCAGTCATTCATTGTTTGCGGCAATAATTTTGTGAATGAAGTGCTTGTTTGTTAATACCAATAGACAACTGTTTATGAATTGGTAAGTAATCGCCGGAATTGATAGTTTGAGTGGAAGTGCAACAATTGGTAGTGAGGGTTAAGTCATAAAAATTGGTTATAAAACTTGGTTTATAGGATATCGCATCAGAGACGACACATATATGTGATGAACAGTGCGATGAATGAGTCAGAGATAAGGATATATCACTAGAGATAGAGAGGGAAGACATGTATAATATTTAGAAAGAGATATATTTTGTGTGTTTAAGAGAGAAAGAAAGAGAGAGAGAGAGAGAGAGAGAGAGAGAGAGAGAGAGAGAGAGAGAGAGAGAGACTTTAGGAATAGGAGGAGTAACTGTTTGACGAGTAAATGCTTGTTTATAGCCCAGTGATGGTAGTGATGGTGTCGGCCCACACACCACGTACTGGTAAAGGCATTAAAATATTGATTCCTTAAGCAAACAGCCTCTCGGATTGGATGGAGTGCCTCATTGAACACATTGAAAGACCAAACAGTTGTTAATATAATATATGTAATATAAAAATGCTTTTTGCAATTCAAACAAAACGGATCCCAACAGATCTCTTACAACTGAAAAACATCACTACTTTGAATCACTGAAAAAGATTCATAGATTGAGAGGTATTAACTAATGTGATGTTTGACTGCAGTTTACTCTTCAGTTGACTATTCACTCAAAAATTATTGGCGAGTGTTTGTTATACAGGTATGCAAACAATACATTTAAATATAATAGATATATACAAATGAGAGACCATATACTGTATATACAGTACAGTATATACACACAAATTGTAGTCAATTGTATTCAAGTATTTCTTTGTCGGAAACATCGGCTCTAAAGTCAAACCGCAGGCATTAACTCAAAATTTGTGGCACTTGTTATGTCTTTTCTCTTTATATGTCTATATGTCTGTCTATTTAGTCATTACCTCTATTACCTCTTCCATCATAAGTACCAAATAGTCAGCAAATAATATAACTTTAAAAAAATCAATTCCTCTTATCTCTCAATTCCGATATTGCTTTAAAAATAAATGTTTTAGACATTGTTTGTATCGTTTTGTGTTCAGCCAATTGATACCTATATCAGTGGCATTCATTCAATCCACAAACGGCTAACATATTTGTTATCTTTTAGACCACACAGTGCTCTATCGTACGGCACTTATTGTATATAAAGATATTTTTATTTTATTTACAATTCATACACAATGTGTGCAATCAATGCATTCGTATATTTTATTTAATCATTATTGTCGACTAATTGATTCATTATAATGCAGTATATTATGTGATTTATTTAACATAAATATACAATAAGTGTTAATTAGTAAATTTAAATTTTAGCACTTATATATTTACAAAGTATATATTGATATTTTATTGTTTATATATAAATATTATATATTATATTACTGAATCTCTGTAAATTTATATCAATGTAAATTATGTATAGCAATATAAAAGCTAGTTTATTTTAATTGAGTTATTTTATTTTATTTTTATATTTATAATAACTACAATTTTTGCATCATTATCACAATTTAATTAAATATCCTTTTAAAATATTATTTAATTAAAAAAGTTATTTTTAGCTTTTGACTAACAATATTAACAAATATAATTTTGTTAGTATAAAGTTTTATAAATAAAGAAAAGCAATCAAAATTGAAAAATTTTTACAAAAATCGAAACCAATTTATTGTATAAATAAATTTCAATTTTGAGTGACATTTTTAAAAACATTTAAACTATTAGCTAAAATTATTTTGAATACATTATAATGCAGTATACTTTCTATATTATGACTGCTATATATATATATATATATATATATATATATATATATATTGTTGTTAATTTAAATTACTATTTAGACATTAAATACAATATTTATTTTTAGTAATATTATAGTTATTAAATTCTTTTGAAATAAAATAACATATTATTTATTTTGTTATTTATAGATAATATTTATATTTAAGTATATAAAAACACAAAGCATTATTAACAATAAATTGATATAAAAATGATAGTTAAATAATCTAAAAACTTGTGTATTGTGTCTATTTATAAAATTATAATAATATTTTAAAGTTTTTAATTATTTAAACTACAGTATATTTAAATTGTATTTAAATGTTAATATAGTAACAATATCTGACATCTATTATTTGTATATTTAAATAACATATTAAATGTATAACAAATATTATATTATAAACAATAGATGTCAGTGTAAGTGCTATAATAGTTTTGTTTAACAACTACACAGTACTGTAGAAAATTAATTTGAATGTACAGTATCTTGGTCATATTATAAATGTTATAATGTTAATGATTTGTTAAAATTAATTAAATATTTATAAGTCATTTGGATTTTAATTATATAATTGTATATATTTTATTTACAATTGTACAAGCTGCTTTATGGAAATATTTTATATTTTATTGTATTGTAAATTAATTACTTTATTTATTACCATTCAACATAATAATCAAAATGTTTATATTTTTAATAGAAATCTTAATTCATCATCAATTTTATTACCGATTTCATAATGTTTATGAATTATAATATAATTAATATTTTATTATATATTATTATTCGATAAATTATTGATATTATTTTAAAAATTCTTATAAATATTATTTTATAACATATAAGTGTTGTTTATATAGAGAATTTATAAAAAAAATACTAATTTATATTTTGAATTGATTGTGTTTCAATTTTATCAAATGGTAATAAAAATATTTTTGCTTTATAATAATTTAAAAATTATTAATATGATTAAGATTTTAGTTAAAATATTTATCATGATTTTTTAAAATTAAAGATTTTATAAATTTCATAAATTAATGAAATAAACCTCAAAATAAAAAAACTTTATAATTGGTTAAATAATATTTAATAATAATAATAAGAGTTTTATTGTTAATCATAGCATATCATAAAATTGCTTTAATATTCTTTAAAATACATTCTATGTATACGTTTATACTTTAATTAAATTTAATTAATATAATATAAGAAATAATTAAAGTGATATTAATCTATTGCTAAAAATACAAACAAAATAAAATATATTTTTATTATCAATAAGTATTTACATAATAAATCTTATATTTCAATTTTAATTAGTTTTAAATATAACTTTACAATATTTATTTGTTAATTATGAAATAAATGTTAATGATTTAATAAAATATTTATATTTGCAATAAATTTAATTATATTTTTATTTTATTTATATACTTGAAATAAAATCAAAACAATATACTTACAGTATTTATCAAAATAAATATAATTATTAATTAAATAAAAATTTATTTTAATTTTAAAGAATTGATTTGCACTTAACTAATACCGTGTTTAACATAAGGCGGAATAAATAAATCTTTTAATTACTCGAAAAGTATTAGAAATATTTTAAGCAAAATAAACTTAAAATAATAAGTGATATTTAGAGTTTATGAATCTAAAATTTAATATATGACACATCCTTAACAATAAAAATACAGGTTATTATGTTTACATTTTATTTGCATAAAATTTCGAAAAAATTGATTTCTACAATAATCTGGCCTGGATATATTTTTTAATTGAAATTGTATTTGAAATTAATTGAATTGAAAATTTTAAGTTTTATTAGTGACTATAGTATAGTGCAAGGAATGTGTATTTAAATCACTCCTTAATAGCATTAGTTAAGAAATTTTTTGATTATTTTTGCATGTATTTTTGAAACTTGTTTCCACCTCCTTAATATTAAAGGAGGTGTCAATTAGTAAATTTTAGTTTTATAAATCCTAATTATTTAATATTATTTTAAACTTTATTTTCTCAAAATATCTCTAATACTTTTTGAATAATCAAAATTTTATTTATTCCTCTTTATTTGATACATACTTGTAGTAAACTATTAGACAATAAAATAAAATAATCAAATTAGTTATTTTTTTAAATAAAATCTTTTTAATGCAAATTTATTTTATATCTAAAACACAGTATTTTTGTTTTGTTATATATTAATACATTTTACAGTATACAATATTTACAATTAATTTAATGCCAATTTTTATAACAGATTTTTTGTCTTTTTAATTCAGATTATGGCTTTCAAAATATATAAATATATTGAAATAATATTAATTTTTATATATTATCTAATGCTCATATAATTTATATTTATATATCAATTATAAATGTTTGCATAACATGTTTCTAATATGATTTATTTGTTTTCTTTCTTTCTATAATTTTTTTATTATATAATTTTAAGAGCATCTGTTTTATCAATAAAAAATTGAATTATAGTGAAAATTATAATACGGTAATTTGTATCTATAATCATTTTTAATAATTAAATATATTTATATTATATATTTATATAAACAACAATTATTTTTGTTTCATCTAAAATATCTGTATTAAATTGTTAATGAATTAAATAATTATATGAATAAACAAAATTAATTTTTATTATAATAACACAATCAAAGACTAGATAAGAAAAATATATGTATTTTAATGGTATTGTCAATCGCCAGATATTTGTCAATATCTGATCCCTCAAAAACTTGAATTAATGATAACATATATATCTATAAATATTTATATACTCTGTAAATGTTGTGAGCATTACTTTTCATATGATTGTTTGATTACTGACTCAAAAGTGGCCTAAAATTACTTATTATATAAATTATAAATTTGATTAAATTATAAATAATTATTATTTAACATCATTTACATACCAAACCTTAAAACCTGAGAATCAGTTAATTGATTGAAACAGATTTGACATATTTCTGGCGATAAAAATAATTCATTTTTATCTATATTTTTACTAATAATTAAAAAACATAAAATTAAGCATTTTTTATTAAAAAAAATTAGCATTAAACTAAAAATTATGATTCAAAATTTTGCTGTAATTTTACAGTATACTAAAACTTAATTAATTATATTATATTAATAATAATACTTTCATGTGATTAGGGGTCAGTTTAATATAATATAATGTAATTGTTTTTTTTTTGTCAAAAACTACAAATATATTGCTTTAAGTAATTGTGTGTTCAATGAAGTGCCACTCTTTTTTTTATCTAAGAGTACAATATTTTTTTTGTACATATAATATATTTATATAATTTACATTATATTTATCAAGTAATGTATATGGTTTTTATATTTTTAACAAAATGATTTAGTTATTTTTTAAAACACATTTTTGTTTTGTTTGTTCAGTAAATTCACTATTCATTCACAATATAATTTCTAGTTTATTATTATTATTATTATTATTATTATTATTATTATTATTATTATTATTATTATTATTATTATTATTAGCCCGATTTTATTAGTATATTAGTAGAGTCTGTGAAATACAATTCACACTTTTATAACATAATTATATGAATATAAATAATTACAAATTATATATACCTGTATATAATAACAAGTTTTTCTTTTAAAAACTTATTCAAAATTATTATTTTTGTTTTGTTCACATAATATGTATTTCAATTTATTTAATTGACTTTTATTTCTGATCTTAACATATGTATAATATACAATATGTATACATTATATATACTTTATGTTTTATATAAGTTATTTTGTCTTAAAGTATTTATCACTATATATTTTTTTATTATAAGCAAATGTCACGCAACACTCTATAGTTTATAAAATACTCTTATATTAAATGTTTTTTTAATTTATTCTTATATTGCAATTATTCCCTTTTGCTTTTAGATTAAATTTTGTTTATATATTTGTCCAATTGGTTTATAGGTTTAATAATGTTTTTACGACAATTTGTTGTTTTTTCAATAATTTTTATTGTGTTTTTAAAATTTTTAATATTAAGTTTTAGCGGCAAGTCTTTAAACAATTTTAACAGTTATGTTATCTTCAAATGATACTAATTGCACAAAATATTTATTATATCACTATAATAATTATGATTTAAAATAAATATAATTATGTTTAACTAAATAATACAAAATATAATGATATTTAGAAAAAAACAAATTATATATATGTATAATTTTAAGAACAATTAAAATATAAATTAATTTATATATTATATTCATAAAAAATTAAACTATATTAATAAATAAATATATTAATTTAAATAAATACAAATAATTAAATTACATAACAAATAAGTAAAATAATAAGAATATATTAATCTTATTTGTAATTATAAGGAATGTATAATATTTGATAAGTAATATAATTGTTAAAAATTATCAATTAAACAATTGTTGGTATGTATTGGTATAGGACTAGAATTTGTTAAATACTACTACTACTAATAATAATAAAGATAATAATAATAGTTTAAAATAAAAACTAATTGAAGATAACTGTTAATTAGTTTTTTATATTAAATTGCTTTTATGAACAAAAAGCTCGATTGTGTCGTACAGGAGATTCATTGTATAAGTGATTCAAGATTTACAAGTGTTTTATACAGTATCTTATATTTATATTAATAAAACACAATAAGCTTATGAATCAATCGTTATTTTTTTGGTCTAATTTTATCAGAAAACAAGTGATATTTTTTTCGATAGAAATTCACAAAAAAAATCAAAATATAACTGAATGTTGTGTCTCAAAACGATATTATTATTTTTTAAATATATAAGTGATATAATTTTTATGTGAAAACTACTATACACAATTATATATATTTATAAACTTATTCAATAATATATGTATGCTATGATGGGATATAATGTTTTTAATGAGGATTATTGAGCGCCAAATTATAAATTTATCTCTTACTTTATACATATTTATAATATATATATTAGTAATTGAGCTTTACTTCATTCTTATATCTATATATATATATATATATAATAATTAAAATATATCTATACATCTATATATTGATACAATAAATTGCTTATTCATAAGCTTATTTCAATATTATTAATATTAACTTATTATTTTAAGAGGTTTTTTGTTGTTGTTGTTGTTGTTGTAGTAGTAGTTGTTGTTGTCGTTGTTGTTGTTATTATTGATGGTGTTGTAAGAGTTGTTGTCGTATATTATAGTTTTCTTTTATATGGTGTTGATATCGAGGCATAACATTATCTAATTGTTAATAATAAATGTCTTAAAGCCATCCATAAAGTCAAATACAGATCACATTATTTTTGTTAATATAACGATGTCTTTAAGTACATTGCAATTAATAAAGTTTTAGTAAATTTATTAATAATATAATAATAATTATTTTTATTATTATTGGATGATTTAATATGACGACTGCTTTAATTGTTGAGTATATTTGACTACTAATGAATGAAATTGTGATTTATTATAATGATTAGTGATTTATTCATCAAAAATTGGATCACAATTGTGTTATTCAAATGAGATCTGAAATTATAAAAAAAATCAGTTTTAATATTGATTTCACTCATTCATTAGAAATAATATATTTTATATAAAATAATTATTTTTGATGACGTTTTTTATTCATATTTAAAAAAACTAGTTATAAGTATATTATATTAAATATATACTATATATATATATATATATATTAATATGATATATGTTTTGTTATATTTGTCAAAAATAGATAATATGTGTGTCTGTGCTAACCCTTGTGAGATGAAGATGTTGTGGACGCCGGAGACATAGACCCGTCGAGTACGTCGTCCAACCACTTGTCTTGACTACGTCTGCGGGCATTCATGAAGAAGTTGCCGACTGTACTCAACTCGAGACCCAATTGCTGTGAAATAGTGATTTGCATCTCTTTCGACGGCCGTTTCGTCTCCTTGAAGATGGCCTGAAGGGTACGGCGCTGTAGATCCGTAAAGACAAGTCGAGGCTTCTTCGGCGCCGTCGGCGATTTGGCCACAACTATCTGTTCCTCTTTCCGCTTGCAGGCTAACCGTCCAATTAATAAAAAAAGGAAAGACAAACAATAACATTATATATTAGATAATATTAATCCAATAATATTATATTTATAAGATATTCTTTAAGAATTGTCAATCGTTGCCAGCCGTGCATTCATATACAATATATATACAGTGTATATATATATATACATTAAGCAATATTTCACAAAAATACAACATTGAATTACAAAAATAATAATATCAAACAATACATGCAATTAAATAATAATTAAGACAATAGTTTTTGGTTGATATGTATTAACCAATATTTTTTAACATTTACAACATTTCATATATTTTGACTTTACATTTGAAGTCAATTCAACTACTTTTATGGTTTTTTTGGTAGTGAAGTCAATAGAAATAATTGTTTTTATTTATTAAAAAAGAAATGCCTTATTAGTAGCTAAATATTACTATAATTAACACAAAACATGCAAAGATATAATACATATATTATGCTATAATAACATATAAAATTATTTATTGATAACCTAAGATTATTTAGATAGTAGTTTAAATTTTTGATTAAATTACATATTTAGTAACATTTAATTTAATTATGTTTTTATGTAAACTATAATTGATTTTTATTATCAGCGTTTATTTTTATAAGAAATTAAAGTTTTCTATTGAACTTTATATTAATTATTTCAAACTAACATTTATTAAATTAAATCTTATATCCTATAAAAATAACAGACTTTTTTAAGAAAAATATTTGTTAAATTAAGCAAAAATGTGTATAAATTCAATTAACAACAATTTAACATTAATTTTATGCAAAACTTATAGAATAGTCTTGTATTAAATAGTAAATCTTGTATTTATAGTTAGAGTTATAGTATATGAAGTTTATTATGATAGCTAAAAACAATGAAATGCATTACACATAGGAAATCAAATTATTAATTAGTATTTTTCAGTAGTTAAGTACATATATATATATATATATATATATATATATATATATAATAAATTTAGAGTTACTATTAGTCTGTTAAGAGATTGAATCTCAAGTGATATTACGTAAGAGTTTCTCTCAGTTACCATAAGAGTTGATTGAGTTATAGGAATGGGAATTATGTTTGAATGATAGAGAGAGAGAGAGAGAGAGAGAGAGAGAGAGAGAGAGAGAGAGAGAGAGAGAGAGAGACTAAAAGAAATAGTTATATGTATTTATTTGTAAGGCACGGGAGCTATAGATTTCTCTCAATCAACGAGGAAAGGGATATTTAGCTATGAGCTAAACATTGAGCTCAGACCTAAAACGGAACAGTTTTTGCAGTTCGTTAAACAATCTATTAATTTTGGTACACATTATATAACATATAAAAACACATACATTTTGCTTCATATAGTATCATAATCTATAGTAAGTGAGAGACAGTTGAGAAAAAATATCAAATGTATTGAAAATGTTTATAAAATAAAGTGCTCTTACAGTTTGATTTAATTTTAACTATACATCTAATGAGAGCTTATGTATACAACTTTTCTAAAGTATATGTTAAGCATTCATATGAAAGTACAGTTATGGTAACATTTAGGAAAAACTATTGATAAACGAGTGAAATTGAGTCAAAAATTCAATTGAATTATTTCAATCATTGAGACAACACTTTATGCAAACTTTTATTTGCTTTTTTAACACTCGCTATCTGTGAGCCAGTAATTGAAAATCGGGCACATATTGGGAAATACAGTCAAACACAATCATATTATGTGTGTCGCGTATACAGTCAATGTCTATTTAAATGTAATGAACTATTCAAGCGATATAACAAAATGCTATCAAACAAAATTGATAGAATAGGCTTATAATATAAGTACAGTATTATTATTATAATAATAATATATAGGACATAAAATTTAACCAAAAAAACTTTATTTAACCATTAATTTATTCAAAACTAAAATTATTTTAATATTATACAACAATAATTCACCTATAATTTTTTTTTATATTAACCTTATACATGTATATTATGAGTATAATATACTCATTAATTAGTACAAATAGCAAATAACGTACTCATCATTGTTATTAAATAGATTTAAATTTATAATTAGCTGTATTTAAATATAAAATAAGTTTACATAGTTTTCTTTGTGGTCACTATTGTACGGTAATCACTAAACTTTTTTGTGTGACTATTTTGCTGACTATTTTTGTAACCATAAGGACACAAACACTTAACATAACAACACGTCTGAAAAAAGACATTAAAAGTGCCAAAAGTGTATATAAATTATATACAATATATTATATTATTTTGTTTTATTTCTTGCTATTTGGAAAACTATATGAACAAATGGTTACTATATTTAATATACAAGTATGTGATTTCTATAATATAGTTAAGTTAGCAAATGCTATACTCTATTGTGTTGTTTGATATAAACACGAGTTATAGTGAATAACTAGAAGAACCGGCATTTGAAACAAAAGTACTGCAATGGATAGGACTCGCATCTGCCGGAGTCCCACACATTAATCAATATATACAAGTATTTTTGGTTTTAACAACAAACTGCTCTCTCTCTCTCTCTCTTTCTCTCTCTCTTTCTCTCTCTCTCTCTCTCTCTCTCTCTATCTATCTATCTATCTATCTATCTATCTATCTATCTATCTATCTATCTATCTATCTTTGAGTACCAATTTTTTGCATAAAGAGTTGTTTATTGATGGAGGGACTGACTGATACATCACTAACACTGTTAGCCATCATCAGTCGTGTTGTTGTAGTTATGTTTGCTTGTGTGGCGTTTAGCTATTTTTGCCTAAAAAATAGTAATCATTTCTTAATGCATGATTAGCTCTATGAATGAAGTTTTGTATCATTTCATTTGACACAAACATCAGAAAAGACATCATTTTTAAAGAGCACTCAATTTATGATCTTTTTATACATATATATATATATAATATTATACATCACTAAAAATGTTAGTTACAATTGCATTAAATCAATTTATCTTTGCTTAGGTTATTACTATTCATCTAAAAATATTTTTGCCAAAATATAATTTGTATTAAAATTTTTATATAAATTATTATTTATGTGACAATTTCTATCAATTCAAGGAAAATAAAAATTTATTTGCAAAACTACACAAATAATAGTATATAGTTATTTTTATGCAGTAAAGTTTCAAAAACTTATTTTAAAAGATTAAATAAATAATTATCTTTTTATTATATAAATATTATGGCCTATAATATAGATTTTTGAAGTGACGATTATGATATGCAAACAATTTTGTTAAACAATTTCAACAAAATATAGACATTTCTATTGATTTTGTAAGTAAATTGATTTTCTCTATGTATTGATTTGTTAAACTGTTATATCAATATCTAGGTGTTGTTGATAATTGATTTATCATTATTTATTAAATTGTTAATAGCAATAAATGAACAAATTTAGGTATACACAATATATTACAAATATAAATACGTACCAACACTACATTATTTAATATATTAATATATATATATAGTTTTTAAAAGAAAAAACAATACTCTTGATTATTATACTGTATAAAAACAATATTTGACAATTGAAACAATAATATAGATTTAAATTCAAAAACATTTAAACAACAAAGAAAATAATACAATTAATTGAATTTATTGCAACAAATGGTGTGTATATGTGTGTAAATACGTTAATAGTTTTAATGAGTAAAGAATTTATCATTATTTAAATAATTAATGTCATTTCATACATTAACGCTCTGAAGTCATTCAAATTTAGCTATTTTTACCTTAAGTGACCAGATTGTTATGGCGCGTGTTATTAAATTAATTTTAGACCAATCAGAATTTAATCTATTATTAAGTTTTCAACGGTTTTAGAATAATTACAAAAATTTTAAAATATACTAGCCAAACCTATTAAATGTATGATAATCATATAAAAAGAAGTTGAGGAATAGGTCATATTATCATATAATGGTAATAATAACAGAAGAAGTTGAGGAATAGGTCATATTATCATATAATGGTAATAATAACTGAAGAAGTTGAGGAATAGGTCATATTATCATATAATGGTAATAATAATTGAAGAAGTTGAGGAATAGGTCATATTATCATATAATGGTAATAATAACTGAAGAAGTTGAGGAATAGGTCATATTATCATATAATGGTAATAATAATTGAAGAAGTTGAGGAATAGGTCATATTATCATATAATGGTAATAATAACTGAAGAAGTTGAGGAATAGGTCATATTATCATATAATGGTAATAATAACTGAAGAAGTTGAGGAATAGGTCATATTATCATATAATGGTAATAATAACTGAAGAAGTTGAGGAATAGGTCATATTATCATATAATGGTAATAATAACTGAAGAAGTTGAGGAATAGGTCATATTATCATATAATGGTAATAATAATTGAAGAAGTTGAGGAATAGGTCATATTATCATATAATGGTAATAATAACTGAAGAAGTTGAGGAATAGGTCATATTATCATATAATGGTAATAATAACTGAAGAAGTTGAGGAATAGGTCATATTATCATATAATGGTAATAATAACTGAAGAAGTTGAGGAATAGGTCATATTATCATATAATGGTAATAATAATTGAAGAAGTTGAGGAATAGGTCATATTATCATATAATGGTAATAATAATTGAAGAAGTTGAGGAATAGGTCATATTATCATATAATGGTAATAATAACTGAAGAAGTTGAGGAATAGGTCATATTATCATATAATGGTAATAATAACTGAAGAAGTTGAGGAATAGGTCATATTATCATATAATGGTAATAATAACAGAAGTTGAGGAATAGGTCATATCATATAATGGTAATAATAACTGAAGAAGTTGAGGAATAGGTCAAATATTTAATTATTTTTCAGCTATTTTTACCATTAGATGATAATTAGATCTAATTATCACTATCTTCAGCTATTTTTACCATTAGATGATTATTGGAGCTAATTATCACTATCTTCAGCTATTTTTACCATTAGATGATAATTGAATTTAATTATCACTATCTTCAGCTATTTTTATCTTTAGGACGATAAAAAGCCACTATATGTTAGCGTCACTTATTATAAGACATACATAACTTAAATTTTTAATAACTTATAGATAAAATTAAAATTCAATAATATTTAATTTTTTGTTCGATTCATTTTGATTGGTCAATTGGCTCTGTGCCGATGGCACTGTTTTGTCACCAAAGGAAAACATCGATTTGTGCCGATGGCACACGTTTGTTGTTAGCGCGTTAAATATAATAGTTATAATGTGAAAGTTAGTTATAAACATAATATTATTGACATCTTTTAATGAACTTGTTTTTCTCTCTCACTGTTAATGAGTTTTCAAACAAACATTTATATAAAGTTAGTTTGCATTAATGCTCTAAAATAATGTCAATCAAATATCTGTAAGTTTTTTTATTTAAGTAAAAAATAACACTTAGTTTTATATTAACTTTTACGTTACAAAATGAATGTTAAAAGTTTTGTTTGGTATTACATTATGAATACATACCATTATCTATTGTTGTCTGAGTCGCGGGTATCCAATCACTACCTGTGCTATAATTGCCGCTTAAAAATCAGAAAATATATATTGTTTTATAATTTGACATTTTGTTTGATTTTTAATATAACTATCATTAAATCCTGAATTTTGTTAGAAATATACTGATATAGACTGTTTGCCCCGTTGTGTATTACTTAAGCACTTGTGTTAATAGCTTTTCAGTTAAATTTTTTTAGTTGATATTAAGTTCAGTTTAGTTAAGAAACTTTATAAAAAACATTTTAAGTTACTTTTTTTGACTACACTTCTCCTCATCAAAAAGATGTCGAAAGAAAATAATTTATTAATAATTTAAATAAGCAAATAATAGTTTCATTTAATATTTCATTAAAAGTGCATGAAATTAAATTAATTAGCATTTTTTGTCCAAATTTCATATAATTAACTTTTTTTTGTAGAAAAAAGTTTCCATTAATTGGTTTTGTTGCTGAAAAATGACGTGAGTTTTAGAAAATAATAAATAAGTTTTTTTTCAGCACATTATATGCTGTATTACATTAATTTTATATGTGTTTGAATTCATATATTTGTATAAATTTCAGTCAAAATTATTTTAAATATAAAATTTAAGCATGTGAATTTTAATTTAATTAAATATTGACAAAATCTACTAATTAATATAACTATAAAGTTTATAGTATTTAACTATCTGACAATTTTTATTTATAAATAAATATATTATCTATTAATTTATATTTAAAGTATAATTGTTTTCAAAGTTATTTTTTCTAAGCATTGAATGTTAAAAATTTATTTATCTAATAAATACTATAATCCCATTTGTCATTAACTAATCCTGTTTAGCAGTGAAGTTGAGACGCAATCCCTTATAATAAATAAAGAGAAAATCCATTGTAAATGATATCCCAAAAATTAAGTCTACATTTATGACTATATATAACTAATTTAAATGTCTAAGTGCTGGCAACTCTACAAACAGCTAATTGTGTTTTAACTACTACTAGATTATTGTTAAAAGTGACTATTTTTTAAAACAATAGTCTCTATATATTTATATGACTCACATAAATGACTGCTCCATATGAGGAGCTCCCGGTGCGTAATAATTAGAGCAACGGTATGGCTCGTATTGGTAATGATAGTATGATTGCTGTCCCCTGTATTGCGTGCGCTTCTCCCTCACCAATGCTGCTGACTCTTTGATGCCATCATAGGTATGATTATTGAATGTCTGTAGTGGTCTCTCAGTACCATTTGCTGCACCGGTAGTAGCATTGGTAGTGGCACTGGCAGTAGTAGCCCTCATCTCTTTTTCTGCAATGGGACAGACAAATATAGGATTGCGTCTCAATAGTTATCTTATGTTTTGTTTTGTTAATTGCTTATCCAGTCAATGGTAGTTAAAAAAGCTGTGAAATTTTTTATCAACTAATTGACTGGATCTAAATCTAAGTGATTGGCAACCTCTATGTCACTACAAAAGCAATGGCACTACAATAGTCTAAAATCAAATATAATTTTTTTTGATGGCATACATAATCAGCAATAAATGTTTCACTAATAATCAGTGAATAACAAAAAAAAATCAATTATTTTATTTGTTTAAAAGCATTTAGTGATATTTTAATTAACTTTAATGATTTGACTAAAAATGTAAATACTTGTTGAATTGAGAATACATTGCATTATATAACTAAATATTCGTTATTAATTGATTTTTAATAAACATTATATTGTCAGAGAAAATCATTTATTTAGAAATAGAAAGATAGGGCAACATTAAAAAAACCGCAACAATATTAAACATTAGGAATTTAGTAAACCTCGTGTAATAATAAAACAATCGGTTTATAGATTTTTTATTCAAGTATTGATCTTTTGCTTAAAAACATCGATCCGATTGCATACTTATCGACAACATGTTAAAAGCGTTAACATATTTATAAATTTATATATATATACTGTATATATACGTTTTTGCCCTATTTTTATGGCCCATTATGTATGTGTGTTTGCAACTCTAACCTATTATTACGTATACATATGTATTGTACAACTAATTAGCATTTTACCTATTATCAGGTAAATTGTATGGAAATGCAATAAATAGAAAATCACAAAAACACATTACTATTATTATTATTATAGTGACTTACATTACTTTATCATAATATAATATTTAATTGAAATTGAAAACAAGTTATATTATAAATTAATATAATAAAACTATAAGAGTTGTTGCCATTAATTAGGGTCACTATATATATATATATATATATATATATATATATATATATATATATATAGAGGAAGTGTAGGTCTAATTCAAAGATGCTCTCATAATATACAGCATATATGGTCACAATCTGACAGCTGGTGTGACATCCAATTGCTATCCAAAAACTTTTTCTATAGATATATAAATATATATTTACAATATTGTTGTTTCAAAGGAACTGGTGCTTTGAGTTTTGGGCACACATTAAATGCTGTATTTGTGTGTATGTGTGTTATGTATGTTGTTATCAACACTCAATAAGAAATATAGTAATATAGTAAACACCAGAATATTTGTGTGTCATCTGAAAAACTTTTAGAGGAAAACAGTTAGCAACATAACAACACCGTTAGTCATATCATATTTGATTGCTTAACTACCTTCTATGCAATTTCAAGGCATTGAATACCGGTGCTGCTAATGCTGTTACACACTTGCAATGATTATAAGTCTTACAATATATATATATATATATAAGAATTGCTTGCTTTTTGTTGATGTTTCATCATTGGCACCGTTAGGCACTGTTAGCCCTTTTCTAATACAGTTTGCATGCCTTTATAGTCCCCCCAATATTCTGATCGACATTTGATTGGCTTTATGGCAACATCTGTGTGAACTGTATGCCAGCACATACTGAACACTACTTCTACTACTACTACCACCAAAACTACTGTATAACTGTTTGGCACCGTTGGGCTATAGCACAAGCAAATGCATAGAGTAGTAGTAAAACTTTTTTTTTCCCGATTGCCAGTGCTTTATATCAAAGCCATTAGCCATTGAGTTAAGATCACAAAATATGTTTATGTTTAGCACAATTTATAAAGTATTTTATATGAGTTTTGTATTATTTTTGGGCCAATTTTTTGCATATTTTGTTTCTAATATATGTTCATAACTCTCAAACTTGTTTTGTTAAACATTTTGCAAGAATAAAGTTTATATATAACTGAAAGTTTAAAATACTTAAATTGTTACATAAAATTGCATATTTGCTGTTAAAATATTTTTATGGAAAAATGTCTTGATCATTTTAAAAATCCATAATGATTATAAAATTACTATTTTTAAAATAAAATCAAATTTGCTATTAGTATGCAATTATAATTAATGTATATTTTTGTAAAATGATTGATCGATAATGTATTTTAATAATTAATGCTTTACTACAATGTTGCTATTTAGTTTGCATTATTTTTATATTTTAAAAAACTATTGTTTGCTTATATAGTTTATAGACCATAATTTATAAACTGATTGATAGGTTTATATTTTCAAAATATGCCTCATATAAAATAATAATTTTTTATCAATAGCCAGTTATGCATGGGTACACTCAGTATATTAAACAAAATATTGCATAATATATTGTTATCAAAAAATACTATTGCAAAGTTTAAACAAATAAAGTTTCAATGAAATTGTATTTTTGAATACAATTATAATTGTGTGTATGTTTGATGCAAATGTATAACATATAACATATAACATACAACTTATTGCTTTTATATACAATATATATTTGATATATTTTTTAGTTGACAATTTTTTATTCATGTCAGCAATAGGTTTGCCATTAAAGGTTAGAATAAATGCTATACACCGGTGCTGTGGTCGGCATAATAAGCAGATATTGTTTTCAAAAGAATCGGAGGACAGAGTTATACAATAAAACCAAAACAATATATAAAATACTTTAACAAAGAATTTGAAATTACTTCAAACATATTCTTTACATAATTTAATGTGAGAAACCAAACATATTTATATATATAATATATATAATATATATATTGGATACATAAAAACATTTGGTTTATGTTGTTTTGTTTTGTATTTCAATAATATATACGTATATTATATATTTTATTGTATTTACTACAAGAAAATTCATATTTGCACTATTTTACTTATAATATAATAAGATAGTATGACTTTTTAAATACATTACAGTATAACATAAAAATTTTAATAAAAATATGCTAAATATAAGTTATTCTCTATATTCAAGTGAATAAAAAAAAATGTTATTATTTTTGTTGTTATGTTGAGGTATACAATTGTATACAATTTTATAATAGACAATAGATTTTACAAATGTATGTCCTTTTTAATACCTATGTTAACATTACAAATAATTGCTAGTTTGAGTTACAAAAGTTTAATGTCAGCATTATTATTACTTTTATTATTACTTATAACATAAGTGTTTACAAAATAAAATGTTTTGTTAGAAATTATTGAAATCGACAAATACTTAGCATATATTTTAATAGGACTTGAAATAAGTAATTATTTTGTTTCTTACTATAATTGTTATTATTTAGTGTGTGGAAAATTTCATTAAATAAAAAATCGATTGCATATTATTAGTTATCAATAATATATTAGTCATAAATTTTACTTAAATATATAGTTTATATATTTATTAACAAAGTGTTAATTAAAGAATGTTTTTGTTATTAAACAGATTTACATTAATATAAATTAAATAATAAATGAAAAGTTTATTATTTACGATTGAAATAGATAATGAATGGCAATATATTTAAATATAATAGTAATATAATATGCAGTTTTTTATAGTAGTATTAAATAACTAGTTTTATATGATATACCGGTATCTGAAAGTTTCTATAGAAACGACATAAAAGTTAGTAATGTATTCATAATATTAATTACAGTCAATTTCCAATGGTGTGTATATGTTTGTGTGTCGGCAATCAAATTAATAAATTAAATTCAATGATAAAATATTATCGAAAAATAATATAAATTATTACATAAATTCAAAAATACATTAAGAGACAATAATTTTCCCCATTTTTCAATATTTTCTATAAATATAATTTATATATATTTTGACTTTCAAATTAGTTTGATGATAATTACTTGTTATAAAATAATTGTAATTCATAACCGTATTTTATATAATATTTTATAACATGTATTTATAATGTAGATATCAAGAGATTTTGCGTTTTTATTATAAAATTCAAAACTAATAATAATTTATAAAAATGATATATATATATTAAAAATCATAACTCTTGATATTATTGTTATTATCATTACTTTGAGGAGTGGCTTTAAAAAGTTATTTTAGAGCAAAAAAAGTAAAACATAATATTTAATGACTAGTAATAAGACTCATATATACTGTATATAATATAAGTAATCATTTATCTAATGAAAAACAATTTCAGTTAACTCTTAATAATATCAAATTAAATGCAGTTTACAATATAATAAATATAGTATTTTGTATTAAACTATAAAAATGAAATAACTATATTAATGCTTTTTAAAATTTAGTATTTAATAGAAAACATGTGTCTATTACACTGTACTGTATAAACAAAGAGATATTTATATTTAATTATATATATAATATAATAATTGATGGAATTAAAAAGTTAATCATTATTTAATATAATATAAAAATAAAATTATTACAAATAACATTTTTAATAATTGATGATAATTAATAAAAAAAATTAATATTTACAAAATTATTTGTTATTTAAGACTGTTCATAAACAATTGATAATTAATTGTTGTTATTTTTTATAAATTGTTAGATTTATTGCTAAATACAAATTATTAAATATAATAATTTGAACATTGACTATAATATACTATTTATTATTAGCGTAGTTATCAGAAATAAAATATTGACTTAAAAGTTGAATTGTTTTTATTTTTTAAAACTAATATTTTATTGTTATTGAGAATCAAACTTTTATGCCAAATATATAGACCGTTGGGTATCAATGCTTGAGTTAAGTCAACTGAAAGGCAATAAGAGATGAGAAGCTGATAGTCATAGACTCGTTTCTAATTGATTTTTGTCAAATGATTAAGTACTACAACATTGCCATATATTTAATATGGTTAAAAAGAAAGTGGTGGGGGAACAGTATGTAATAGTACTGCACATATATAGTACACTATGTTATGAATTCAACTACAACTCAACTATACTATAGTTTTTCCTCTTTCAGTCTATTTATTTGAAACTTATAGTAAACTA